AAATCTAATTTTGTGGAGAGACTGGACCTTGCTATACCAATCCACGGGTCAAACTGCAGGCCGAGGTATTTCTCAGATTCGCCGGGGTCGATCATGTTCAGGGGTGTGCCGTTGATAGTCCAGGCAGCGCAGTCATTGATGGTGTAAGAGTCCTTTGTCGGCTTGATGTAAAAGCCGTGGCACTTTTGCCCCTGTGTTTGGAGACCGGTCAGGTTGCAGAAGGTCTCCAGTATGCTAATATTTGTATTCATATTTTCCCAGGAGTCGCTCAGCAAAACCAGATCGTCTGCAAATGCCATCGCTGTGATCTTGCTCTGTCCTCGGTGGTATCCTTTGCCGCTCTCTTCCAGCTTACATAATAGAGGGTCCATTGCCAGGTTAAATAAAAGGGGCGACATCGGGTCACCCTGCTTTACTCCAACCCGGATCTGGATTTTGTCTGTGTGTGTGTTCCTTTTTGTGGTGATATAAGTACTGATGTTCTCGTACATATTGCTCACCAGACCGACGATGTGGGGATCCACCTCTCTTTGCTGCAAAGCATGAATGATGTGCTGGTGGCTTACGGTGTCAAAAGCCTTGGCGATGTCCACGAATACAACACCCAGTGGTCTGTGTTCTCTTTTGGCCGACCAAATTATAGTTTGCAGGAGTTTTAAGTTTTCAGAGCATCCCGCCGCTCTGATAAAGCCTCTTTGCCTTGGGTTCAGGGGGCACGCTTTGCTCAGCCTAGCTGTTACAATCCTGGAGAACAGTCTCAGCAAGATGGAACCGATCGTGATAGGTCTCCAGTTATTAATGTCTTTCAAACGATCCGGCTTTGATGATTTTGGAATCAAAACGGTTCTGCACCCCCTCACCATGTCCGGGATTTTACCAGTTGTTAACCATAAATTGAAAATCTCCATGGTCCGGGAAAACTCGGGATCCATCTTTACGACGTCCCCAAGAGTAATCCCGTCTGGACCGGGAGCCGAGCCTTTGCTCATTTCCTGCACATTTTTCTCAATTTCTTTAGCCGTAATTAATTCTCTGAAGGCAGTGTTGTCAGCCTTCCCGTAAGTTTTAAAGTCCCCAAGGCTTTTAAAGCTACCAGTTGTTTCCCATCTTGTTTTAAAAACCGAATAAATTTCACTGAGTGGTATGTCACAAGACAAGCATTCAATATCATCTAAAACAATTTTGGCCAGTTTCCCTCTATCAAGATAAAATAAACGCTGGAACCGAAGATAATTACCTTTTTTGATTGCTCTGTCCTTCATCCACTTCTGAAAAGGTTTCTTTGGGTGTTTCTCCCGGGTCACCGTGTCCTTTTTATCTCGGGTTGCCGTTCTTATTTGGCTTATGGATTCCAGGCATCCGAAGCAGTCCTGCGTTGTCTGATTGATTACTAGCTTTATATCCCGGCCTTCCATTACCTGCTTGAATGCTCGGGGGAAGGTGTTAAGTGCCCCAGCTGAAAGTCGTTCCTCTAGTGTCTTTTTATAGTAAGCCTGCAGCTGTTCTTCTGATTTTTGCTTGGTGGGTCTCTGCTGTCCGTTGCCCTTATCAGGGTGGCGTCTTATCTCGTCCATTGTTCTCCCTCCGGCAGCTGCCCTGCCTGGCAGAGGGCGTCTCCCAGGTCCATTATCTCTGTCCTCTGCCTGGGCGTGATGACTCATCTCAGGCTCCGTTCTCAGGCTCGCAGCTGCTCTCCTGGTGTGATGACACGTTCCAGGCTCCTCACGTGGCTCCTCTGCTGGCTTTCTGGACAGCAATCGCCTTTTGTCACTGATCTGCTTAGCTGTTTTGGTGGTTATGTGTTCTGCAATAAGCTTATTAATATTTTTGTTTCCCTCGAACTGAGCCTCCAGTCTTATTAGTAATTCTTCCTCCTCCTTTGTCCAGCACCTTTTGTGAGCACCTCTATTTGATGTTTCTTTCGGTTGGGAAGCAACGATCCTTTCCTGATTTCTCACTGCTGGGTGTGCCAATCTCTTGTGTTGTCCCAGGCCAATTTTGGTTGTAAAATCTCTGTTGCATACCTCACAAATCCACTCCCCAGCTGGGGCTTTCTCCGTCTCTGGACCCCTGCATTTTGGAAAATGACAAACAACACTGTGATAGTTACTATTTTCCTTTCCACATTTTGCACACCGAAAACAAACCCCCCTTTTCCCGTGTGACACTTTCAGATGTTCAATCAGATTCAACACAGAGTTTACCCGGGTACCACAGCAAGGACAAGGTGGATTTTTGTCAGGAACAGTCACCATCACTTTTTCCTCCCCAGTCTGTTCCAAACCATGTTTCCCAGGCGTCGGAGGAGATGTTTTTGGCGCGTCCTCGCTCTCCTTCTCGCTGCTCCCCTCTTCAGGCACAAACAGTTCACTGTCTCGTGGGAGGCTAGAATGTAAAGTTTCTCCCACACACGGTTGTGGTGCAAGTTGTTCATACACCTCAGGCAAACCACTTAATCCCTCCCAATCTGCAGCAAAATGAACACACTCATACACATGCA